GGGGGGGGGGCAGGGGGAGCCACACAGATTTCTGATCAAAATGCAGAAGTCTTAATATCTGCAGACCAAAATTCCCTGATATTTTTGGGCCATCTTGAGAAAAGTGTTTTGGTAACTAACCTAAAGGTCTGTATATGTTTGGATTCTACGTGGATTCACAGCAAAGCGTGCTATAAAACTATGGAAGGTGTACCCTACTTCTAATCACCTTCTTGAGTGTGTAATAACGCAAGTATCAGTTAAAGTCTAAGCTTCCTAACAACTTACAAAAGATGCATGTACATTATTTGCATTAAATTACTAAAAATAAGTTTAAATTTATTCCATTTCCTTTCACTATGAAAAATTCTGTACAATATAGAAAGACTTTTTAAAAAGCTCATATGAACAGTAGCAATAAAACTGCAAGATGATATTCAAGTTCTATGCATACTTTTCAAGATTATACAACGATTCTGATGTTTTTATAAGAAAAATAGTTAGTTAACCTTGTAAAAAAATACAGGAGTATCTCCCTGTTAGAAACTGTGTTAAAGATGGTGAAAAATACTTATTTTCAATTATAAAAACAAATGCAAGACAATGCAAGTAACACACTAAACTTTTTGTTATGGCCTTCTCATTTTCAGAGAAAGGCCAGAATGGATGTAAACATTAGATTTTGTAACTAATGTACTTGAGGTGTTTTCAAGCATCTTCTTTTGTATTGAAATAATGGATGGCATTTCAAATGAGCCAAGTGCCCAGAGGGAGGGGTGAGGACAAGGGAACAAGAGACAAGGGTGAAACGGATCTCCAGAAAAATTGACTGTAAAAAGCACTTGTGGCAGATGCCTAATTTTGCACATCTTGCAGAGGCAAAGTTTCCCCTGCAGGTAAAACGGTGCCTCGTTCAAATCAATAACAACTTCAACTGATACCAGCAAGCCATATTATCACTCTAGGTACTTTGCCTCAGTAAGACTACAACAGCAGAACCAACAGCACTGTGCTACCGGACAACAGCCAGTACTGAAGCAACATGTTCACATCAACTTTCAGTTAAGACACCAATATTGATTTGGTATTCAGCACTGTCAAAAGTAAGTTACAACAGTGGTATCACTGAAAATATCAGTACATACATATAATAATACATTATACAATGAGTGATAGTAACTAAATGATCAAAAGTGTGGGGTAGATATAGCTACAGTCCAATCCTGGCTATGATGACAACATTATAGTAGTATTAACGGTTGACTATATTTCCTTACAAAATGTCAAAGCCTATGAGAGTTGCATTCAGTAAAACTGGGTAAATTATTCAGTATGTCATTAAATTATGTAAATATGCAAAAGAGGAAGGCCTCCTCCTTTGAGGAGATTTGAAATAGCTAGAATTGTAGTAAAATCTCACCCTGCAACTTAAATACCATTAAAAAACAAAAGGCAGTGGCAGAAATACAAACTCTTCACAACAAGCATGAGAATGCTTTTATCATGCTTTTCACAACAATAAGCAGGAGACTAACATTACATTACTTATTATTTCTATGAGTGAAACCCAGTTTTACTCAGTATAGGAAGTTACAAGTTTGCAATTTCTAGATAATATTTCGTATTAAAATAATTAGTATCAGAGATCTTGTATTTTCCAGCTACTTAGAAGCAAAACTCAATGTCATATTGTAGACAGGGCTCTCCCTTTCACAACAATATTTAACACTGAAGGAAAAGACCATTACTGACAAGAATGTAAAGTAATGGCATTGAACACATCTGACAGTATGTATATATAAATCTTTCTTACAGAAAATACATTTGTCCTGTTTCCTTTAGTTTATAAAAGGCACTTCATGTATAGCTAAAGCTCTGCTAAAATAATTAAGTTAGCTTTCCAGTTAGACAAAAGATGTAAAGCCTTGTTACCATGAAGATAGAAGAACACTCTCTACAGCTGTTATTACTGCAGATTGATCTATTAAATACTTTAGTTAGGTTTTGCATCATACAATATTTATTTAAAAGAAAGTATTTTTTCTGAATTCAAGAAAACAAAAATAGATCTTCATATGCTACTTCCGTGTTGGAAAGATGATCTCTCAATAGGCTAACATACAAAATATATTATGCTCATACCAACAAAATTAACTTTGTATAGACCTTTCAGAAGTGAGTCCTCAGTCTTTTATTTTCCTCTCGTAGTCTCTCAATTTCAGCTACTAGACTTTCATTTACAGAGTATCTTTCAAGTAAGGCATGCATTTCATTCTAGAGGAGGGGAGGAAAAAAACAAACAAACATTCGCCATCATCATCAGCTACCATTTCCTTTCCAATATTTACTCAAAGCATTTTCCCTTTAACTCTTCTGAAAATTCATTTAATGATGACAAGGTGGTAATATACTGTTTTTCCCTTTAAAAAGTTAAGCATTTGATAAGTCACTAGTATGAAATTTTAATGCTAGTATGCAATATTTCCCTCTTGAATTCATTATGCACTAGTGCATATTAAACCAAAGTTTGCTTTTGTTTCACTTTAGAAAGTGAATATATTCTTCATCTGCCATAAAAATGCAATACAGATTAGATTTTTTAAATCAACCCAGGAGCAAAATCTTTAAGGCTCTGTAAGTTATTTCAACTTTGAAAGTACTTACATGCTGAAACAAATGATGACACTCCTGAATTTGAAGCTCTCCAAGTCCTTTCCCCATGCCCCCTCTACCGCAGAATATTTCATCATAACTGTGACAGCATGGGAGAGGGTGCTCTCCAGGGTGCTGGAGAATAGGAATCCCTGAATACCTCTCAGTCCCCAGAGGTTCCAAGGATAGCAGTGGGATGGGGATAGAGCAGAGTATTATGGGATGCTAGAAGACTGATACAAACATTTCAGGAGGCACTTCAAACATGTTCCTCACTTTCTGCAGGTCATTTTTGAAGCACTTCAGCCATTTTTAAGTGCTTCTTCAGCTGTGCACATCTGCACCCTCACTGTTTAGAGCACTTCAAAGTCACTTAGAGTGCTTCAAAATACATCATCTGTGCAGGGCCTGAGAGGTACGAAACATTCAACTGCAAGTTATTTCTTCTGTTTGACCCACCAACTCCTCACCACTGTTCAACGTCTCAAAAAAACCCCCACAAACTGCTGACCAAGTCTCCTTCACATCTTTGTGGAACATCTACATCTGAAATCTTAGTTGTTTTTAGTTACATTTTGAATTAAACCAGAGCCTGGTTCAAGGATACCTATCAGTGTATATAATCACAATTCCCAGCAATAATCACTGATGCATATATGATTAAATACTGTAATGATTGTTAAAGAAAACTCCTGCTGGAGGGGCTATCAATCCTTATTAAATATGATCATTACCGTCTCTCCCTTCTCCCCTTTCATCTGTTTTTGGCTTTCACTTATTGGATCCACAACTGTATAACGACCCCACTCTTGCAATTCACTATACCCATGTAGAGACCTATTGATGTAAAATGGGACTCCACAAAAGGCCGAGGTATACCCAAATAGATCTATTAGTCAGATGTAGCCTAAGATTACAAATTCCTCATGGTTATGCCAGCACCTCAGAACACCACCATGTACCTGGACACTCCAAAATAACAAAATGCCCCCTCATTCTGATTGTTAATTCTCTCTCAATTCTGCTCCAGTATAAAGCAGTATAAATGCATCCCTTACCCTACCATGTTCTTGTACAACAACTTCATGCCTGATCACGTACAGATTCTCCCTCCTTTGGTCTGGAAGTTTGTTTCTTTTTGCCCATGAACCCCAAATTAAAAAGGACACATTGATGGAAAAAGACAGTCGCTTGCTTCACCCCAATCCTCCTTCCTCCCACTTGAAAGATCCCAGTCTAACTGGCAAACTTAACAGATAATACAGAGCTGTTAAACAGGTTAGTTCCTCCAAACTACAGCAGAACACACTAGGGAAAAAGGTGAAAGAAAAAACAAGTCCTTTTTAGTTTTCTCTTCCTCTTTCATTAATGAGGAGAAACATTACTTTGGGCATGTCTTCACTGAGGTGACAGCCTGTTCAAGCCACCTTAACTCCAAGCACACCCCATCCAGCCACCCCCACATGCATGCTCCAAATACGCTGGCAAAGGTGTTTTGTGATTGCCCCCAGAGGCTATTCTCAAGCACATCAGAGACTAAGGTCTGAGAACAGCCAGAGATGCCCCTGGTGCAACTTCACCAGCATATTTTGGGAGTTGAAACTTGTAAGTAGGAGTGGGTGGGTGGGTGGGAAATGCCTGGGACC